AATTTTACACTCCTATCAATGTGAATGTTAACATGTCAATGTGAATATTCACATTGTCAACGGGACCGGGCCGGCCCTCCTCGTGCCGCGGCGGGCTTTTTGCCTCCCATGGGCCGCGGGGCCAATTTTATACTCTTATCAATGTGAAAGTTAACATGTCAATATGAATATTCACATTGTCATGGGCCGGACCGGGCCCGTCCCGGGCCGCCATGGGCCGTGAGCGAGTTGCGCCGCCACGGACGCGGGCCAATTTACACTCTTATTAATGTGACTGTAACATGTCAATGTGAATTTCACATTGTCAACGGGCCGGGCCGGGCCCGACTCCCGGGCAAGTTTCGGGCACGGTTACGGGTCTCCCACGGGCCAATTTTACATTCCTACCAATGTGAATTTTAAAATATGAATGTTCACATTATTAAATTGCTAATCGTTCAAAAAATATTTATAAGGGTATCAAAATTGAATATAAGGGTATAAGTGTCCAAGAAAATAGTGTAAATCAAGAAAATGGACTTTATGGAATAAAACTATACATATATGGGATTAAATGGGTTAAAAAATTCCTTCATGGACTTCTTGAGTTAAAACAATTCTAAATTGGACTTATCAATAAAAATCCCTTTTTTTATTTTAATTTATAAAAAAGAGAAAATAAATGAAAATAATTTAATAATATAAAATATCATATCAAATTCATAATCATTTTATTTATTTTTTTTTTTTACAAATATCACATCTAATTATAAAAAAAATCCAATCATCTTCTTAAATACAAAAATTTTAGTGTATTGAAATAATAAAAACTAAAATAGCCTACTAAAATAGTCAAGTTTTCATGTGAGGCCATTGTTTTGTTTCATTTTTCCAAGATTTACTTTTCAAAAAATTAAATTTTTTATTTTTTATTTTTTTATTTCTACTAAATTTTTTTAATATATTAAGAAATTTTTTTAATTTTTAAATACACCTAATATAAATATACTTAAAAAAACTATAATATTTGTAAATTTTTTTAAAAAAAATTCACTAAATACCAAAAATATAAAAAAAATAATGAATATTTAATACATTTTCGTATTCTTGTATATTTATTGATTTTTCAAAAAAAAATAATTTTTTTTTTAGATACATTTAAGTAAAGTGCATTTAAAAAAGTAAAAAATTACTTAAAAATTTAAAAATATTCCCTAAAAATTAAAAAAAAAAAACACGAAAAATTAAAACTTAATTTCCCGAAAATTAAAACCAAAGATTTTTTTTAAAATGGATTTGGAAAAATTAAATATTAAAAAATATTTTAAAAAATAAAAATATTTTTAAAAATTGTAAATTTGATTTTAACTCAAAAAATAAATATATATTTTAAAATAATAAGTATTGTGATTTTTTTAAGGAAACAAATTAAAAATAAATTTTAAAAACTCAATCAAATAACATGTAAATTCCTCACATATATATATATATATATATATTAGGGATGTGTATGCACAAATTTATACTTATTTAAAATAGGCAATCGATAAAAGAAAAATATGAGGTGATTTTACAATGCTATTTTTGAAAAAAGGTTAATTGGTGAAAATCATACAATTATGAGACCATATGTTATTTACTTAAAGATTTAATCTTTTTTGTGATAAAACAAGAGTTGAAAAGTCATTGAAATTTCATAAAGAAAATTGGCCAGAAAATTCTTAGAAAGTCAATGATGGTTAGTGGCAACAAGGTGAACAAATAAATGACATTACACTAATATATAACACGTGTATAGATAAATAACATGTATACAAATGTAACATTTGAACATGTGACATTTGGATAGACTAATGTCGTTCTGGTCTAAAAAGATTTAAGTTTAAACATATTGACCTAAGAAATTTCAAAAATGAACCCATGGATTAAGTACCTTTGAAAAAATAAATAAATAAAAAAATAAAAAAAAAATAAAAATTAACTATGTCACACAATTTTGGTTTCCCAAACGGCCCATGAAATTTAGATAACTATTAATCATTTTTTAAAATCAATCCATATTTCTCATCTAACAATAGTCCAAAAATTTAAATATAAAATTGCATATATTCATAGTATGGTATCTCTGTTGCATTGATTTTTATTTATTTATTTGTATATCTTGGGTAAAAGGTCCCAATAGGACTAGATTCCACAACAATTGCCCAATAAATAAATAAATTCAACAAAAACATGAGGATTATAAAAATCACACCAAACTAAACCAATTTTTAAGTCCTATCAAATGGAATCGACTACATGAATTTTTCTTCTCCACTCTATCAAAGGCCATTTGATTAGTCAAATTAAAGAGATTTATATCTCTATTTACTACCCTAACCCATGTCAATGTAGGTCTATTCTTTCCCTTAATACTTCTATCTGCTATCACTGTATTACATCTCTTCACTACTACCTCTGTTGATCTCTGTTGTATATGACCAAATCATTTTAATCTATTCTCTCTCATTTTATCCTTTATCAGTACTACTCTTACCTATTCACGAATATACTTATTTCTAACTCTGTTTTTTTTAGTCTTATCACACATTTATCTTAGCATCATGTGACAACCCTTACCTCTGATTAGTGTTAACTCACGTTTAAGCATGACAAGTAATTGATTAAGATGAAATCCTGAATTGATTGCATGAGTGTGTTGCTTTAATTGCATTTCTATCTGTTTGTCATTGAATGATCTGTTCATGTTTTGATTTCGGACTGCGAATTGAAAGCCTTATCGGCGACCGATTCAGAAATTGGTTAGTGTTATATGCTAACTAGGATTAATGTGATTTTATGGTAGGTTTAATTAAAATTTGATTGGGAATGATTAAATTAGAATAAACAATGTTAAACTAATTGAATCTAGGCAAATTACACTTGTGCCATTGAGTGGTCTAATTCAAGACCAACCCTTATTACACTTTACATATGTTTGATGCACTACTTTTCATCCATCTTCTAGGCCAAACGTGAGAGAGAGGGAATTGGAAGAAAAATTGAGTTCATCTAGATCTTGGCTTAAAATTAGAGGAATTGAAGGAGACTTGAGAAATTAGGCTTCTACACTTGGAATTCAAGACTTAAGGTAGGAAATTCATCCTCTCAATTATGACTTTAAATTTTTAGAAGCTTTGAATTCAAATAAACACATCCATGGCATATTTACATCATGTTCTTGAATTTTGGGTTGAATTTGTGTTCAATTGGCATACTTTTTGGCTTTAATTTTATGAAATGATCTTCAAAACATGTTGTATTATGAGTGTCCAAGTGTTTTCCAGAAAATTGCCCCAAAAGATTGAGTTTTGATGTGTTTAATTCTTGGTTTGGGCTTTGGAAGCAAATCAGGAAAACCCAGATTTTGGCTTCCACGCTCGAGCGAAGGATTCCACGCTCGAGCGACCACTTTTGTGTTCAAAGCTCCGCTCAAGCGTAGATTGCAAGCTCTCAGGTTTTTGTGGATGCAGATGCACGCTCGAGCGACGAGACCTACGCTTGAGCGAAGAACTGTGTCTCACGCTCGAGCGAGCATCAAGCGGAGATTTTCAACAACCAGTACTTTTACATTTTTGCAGACCGCTCGAGCGAAGGAGTTTACGCTCAAGCGACCCCTCTGTTTTGGTAAGCTCGCTTGAGCGGAGAAAGCTATGCTCGAGTGAGACCCCTGTTTTTAGCAAATTTTGAAAAGTGTTCTAAAGTGTATTTTTGCATCCTCATTCCATCCTAGGCATTCCTAGGCCATGTTTAAGGCATCTTAATGAGGATAATGTTATAGAACCACACCAAGTCAAGATAGAGGCTAAGTTATTAATCCCGAGTGTGTAACTTAGTGTGTGTTCGTTCTGTTACTGTGTAGGGTTGGCATCCGAGGACGCTAATTAGCCTGCCTATAGCCCAGTACTCAGTGAGTAACAATGTTGTAAAGATATGTTCAATTATAATTATTTTCTAAATGATCGACTGTATTGCTTTCTGAAATGACACTGTTTACTGAATGAATGTTTGTCCTATTTTATGAACTGTACTCGTGGCATCCATAGCAACTTACTGTTACTGTTACTGTTACTGTTACTACTACTATTATAGAGATCTCTATTAGTTCCAATGTTGGCACCAATACTGTATACTGTTTCGATGGCCATCGATTGACTGTTTGGTCTATCAAGACTTACTGTATTGTGTTGCCATTGGATGTACCACGTATGATTGCTATGATTTCTAAAGGACCAATATGACATGAAATATGAGCTACTGATTAAATGACTGATCTACTGATGTAAATGACTGTTTTAATTACTGAAAGAACATTCATTCTTAACCCCTTTACACAATTGTTATTCACTGAGCTTTAGCTCACTGTTTATATTTATATGTAGGTGTCCAGGCATCGGACCGGAGCTAGAAGCGTCGAGTTAAGCTTATGTTTTGTCAAGCCAACCATTGCGCCTCACTTCGAGGTTCCGAGCCCGTTCAAGCCAAGGCTGTTTTGGGGTGTTTTAGATTCACCCTTTTGTTTCTGTTATGTATGAATGTTTAAGACCTTTCACTACAACAAAATTAAATATTTACGACTTGCGATGCATGCTGTAAAAACTCTTTCACGGCATGCACACAAATGCCGTTATATGACATGCCGTGAAAAGTGTAGCATCATTTATGGCATGCAGGTAAAGTTGTAAAAAGTAATAAATTAAACATTAATGACATACTTTGTATGTCGTATATAACTTTTTACGACATTTTTATAATGCCATAAATCATCATACTTTCCATGACATAATTTTGCATGCCGTAGAAGATTATTTTTAATATATTTATGGCATACTTTGTATGTCGTATATAGTATTTTCCGACATTTTCTTGCATGTCATAAATCATCACTTTTCACGACATAATTTTGTATGCCGTAGAAGGTCATTTTTAATATATTTATGACATGCCTTGTATGCCGTATATAATCTTCTCCGACATTTTCTTACATGCCATAAATCATTACACTTTTCATGGCATAATTTTGCATGCCACAGAAAGTTATTTTTAATATAATATATATATAGGAACATGACCTTGTCTAACCGTATGTAGACAATAGTTTATAAAATGCAACCTATTACAAACCAAGCAGAAGTAGCAACTATGAAGTAAGCAAAAAAATCTAATATCCATACACCAAACAACCTGTATACTAACTTTTATCCTCAACTTCTATCATATCAAGATGATAACAACCTCAAACATACAAATCAAAAAAAGTATCCAAATCATAAGATTTATTAATCTCTAAAATACGACTTCAAACATCCAAAAAGTATAACTACAAATCGTAAATCAATTAGTCCAATATTTAGTCCAAAAGAATGAATTGACTTGGCCATGCAACTGTACTTCCTATTGCATCTTGAAGATCATACATCTCATGAGTAGAACGAAACAACGGCACGTTGACTATTACGTGGTTCACCCATACTTTCCAACACAAAGGTCCAAGAGTTGCATGATGCACCTTTGACTTAGGATCCCTTGATGCAATTTGGCCTTCTGCAACCACCAAGTTTGACCCCTCCCAATGCAACAACTTGTATTTGACATTTGCTAAGCTCGACACACCATTACTTTGATCCTACAAAAATTAAGAGTATATAAGCATACTGCATAACATTCATCCCATTTACCAAGTATTAGTTCAACAAAGGAAATGAAAGTGTCAAAAAGCTTCAACGAGAACTCACTTACATATGTCATCAATGTCAGAAAAGAAAATTTCAACCTGATAAATATATATTTTGAGATGGTCACACTTATGAGTCTACTTAACCTAATGAATACGACAAGGCTCAAAAAAAGACACATTTGAATGTCTGAAACTGTTACTATCATCAGGTGTTGGCTTAGAGCTAAACTGTTACTGCTGGACCACATTATAGCCCTAAAAATATGACAAGGCTAAAAAAAAAGGATCTTAGGGCATACAAAGGCTATTCAACCACTACATAAACGTTACCATCCGAGGCATAATTAAGACACATTTTAATGTCTGAAAAAATATGAATTGGATCACTTTAGAATTGGCTCATTAACAAATTAGATAAGTACATGTGTTGCACTGTAAAGATGATAACTAAAAAATTGATTAATTTACTTTCTTTGTGAGAATTTAAATTAGTTCATTTCTTTTAAACGTAGAATTACTGGCAAACAATGTGCAAAAAGTTGGGGACATTTGGGACATGGCTTTCCCTATTTAAGAGTGTGGTTTCTTCATCATTATGCATATCTAGCTCTTACAAGGTTTACATTATGTTATGCTTTTACAATTTGATGTGAGTAATCCTAGATCATATCAATTTCTTCGGTTACATCTCTGCTCAATTTTCCAACCTGCTTGTTCCGAGATCTAGGACTCCTAACTATCATGAATCTGTGTATGAAACAAAAGTGCAGTGTAATACAGGTGTTTGACTTTTAAGAATTTCGTCATTTCTTTGTTATGTTTGGCCATATTTTCATGCAGATTGTGCGAAGCATGATCCTGAAGTGAGTGAAGACACAGAAAAGAACTTTGCAGAGCTTTTGTCCGAGGAGCTGAAGCTACGAGAAACTGAAGCTTTGCAAATCAACAATGCAGTTTATAATTTCATTTCTGCAAGATCTAATTTATACTACATAAACATACATAAAAACACAAGCATACATGCAGTCATAAATATATTACATATGACGTGTGAAGAACACTCATTACACAGCTATGCAACCACAATTGATGTTACGAAATCAATTTCAAGCTGATTTAACTGACTCAACACAGGCTGATTCCTTTCATTGAAGTCAATTTCATCGCACTTTTGTTTTCCTTTGTCATGCATCTTTAACTTTGATGCCCCCTAGTTTTCTTCTTTGGTACTTGAGTGGAGTCTACAACTCCTTCCATATCATGTGATTCAACATGTGGAGAAGTAGAACACTCATCTAAAATTCTGAATGATGTATTTCTTCTTTCATCCATTATCGCAGCAATTATAGCTTCACGCTCCTTTCTAATTATTTTCTCAGCTTTTTTTGAACTCTGTGCAATACATAAGGAAAAATAAGAAATAATGTGGACAACAATTGGTTATAAATTCAATTTTATGTTAAATGAGAAATAAAGTACCTCTCCAATCATCTTGCTAGTTGACAATTTCAAGATTCAACTGTTAATAATAAAATTTAACAACAATAAATTATGAATAATCAGGCTTAAAAAAAAAGATTCAACTAAACAAAGTAGCTACCATGTATCATACCACTTTGACTTGAACCTGTTTCCTTGTTGCCAAAAGTCATACAACTTTGATTTGGGTTTTTGAAAGTCCTGCAATTTGACACATCTGCAAGCAAGCAAATTCTAATCCATATTCGTATAACCTTGCAGCATTCCTCCTACTCTTATCCACAAAAAAATAAAAAATAAAAAATAAAAAATTAAATAAACCCACAAGATTTCTTTAACTTGAACCACCATGAAACCCATTATCTAATGGTGTCCTTGGTGACAATGTGGATGTTGTATCATGGAGGGGCAACAGGACCAGAAAATTTGCAGTGAGGTCATATTATAAGCTTCTTTGCTTGCCCCAGGCCACACATTGTCTTCCCTTGCAAGATCATCTAGCAGCTGAGGTGTCTTAACATGACTGTAGCTTTGGAAGTGATACTGACTACTGATAAGTGGGGGCCAAAGGTGCTCCCCAATTGGTGTTGCATTTGAAAAAAGTGGATGAGTCTATTAATCATCTCCTTTTGCATTGTGAGGTTGCTTCAAAAGCATTGGAGTTTTTGGGGTTGGAAGAAGGAAGCAAAGCGAAAAATCCATGGTGTTAAATAAGCTTTGAAGATCTCATCTTTGCCCTGTAGCATTAGTTTATAACTATAGATTTTCAGCACTGCATTAAAAGAGGCATTGTTGTCATTGTTTATCTTTTAAATACCTTCTACTTTCCCTTTTAAATTTAGCTTGGACTAATATACCATGTTGTGCTGTCTACTTTTTCAGGTTCTTAATTCTTTACATGAAAATATAGAGGTACACATTTTTCATTCCACTTCTTGTTTTGTCCTAATGTATTGCACATTTGCTTCTATTGTAAAAAAAAAGGGCATCCTTTCTTTATTATTTAAATGCATCATTCAAGGGGATCCATCTTCTCTAACACTTCTTGGACATTTCTGGAATTATATCCAACACTTGCAACATGTCTAAGACTCTAAGTCAAATTGTGAAGGCCAAATTGTGAAGAACTCAAGCTTTCTCTACCTCTCACTCTCTCAAGTCGGCAAGAACAAGAAATGGACTGATAAAATGTTTTGTTAAAGTGTTGTGAGGCTCAAATATAGTCTAGGTAGTAAGCCACTCATGTGGCAAAATGGTAATTAAAGCCAATATATGTAATTTATCAATATTTAACCTAATGTAATCGTACCAAATCACATTTTAACTGAATATGTCATAAAATTACATTAATTCTAAGGATCACAAATCATCAATCAATTTCAGATTCGGCCGCCGATAAAGCCTTCAATTCGCAATTTAAACACAAAGGCATGAACAGATAATCAAACAGTCAACAGATAGACATACAATTAAACATATATACTTCATCAATTCAGTTCCAGATTTCAGTCAGTCAGTTCAGTACTTCAATCAATTCAGTTACCAATCATAATCAGTTTTAGTTTAGCAGTAATCAGTGGTTAATCGGTAAACAGTGACGATGATTGTTACAGAATGGCAATTGGGCACCTATCAGATTTTAAAACAACACTTCCATATTTATCACGCACCAAGCACAGAGGGGCAATTGGACATCCATCACCTTTCAAAATCTTTCCACATTTTCCAGCCACCAAGCACTGAGGGGCAATTGGACACCCAAAAATATTTCCAACAACCTTCTCACATTTACTGGACACCAAGCACAGAAGTGCAATTGGGCACCTCGAAGCATATTCAACAATATCCACCACATTTACCGGTATCAAGTATGGAAGGGAAATTGGGCACCTCGGAACATATTCAGCGATAATCTCCACATTTACCGACATCAAGCACGGAAGGGCAATTAGGCAGCTTGAAACATATTCAACAATATCCCACGCATTTACCGACATTAAGCACGGAAGGACAATTGGGCATCTCAATGAATATACACTACATTTTCAGATCTACACACACACCTCCATAAAATACCCGACACATGTTCCAAGACCATGATGATTCAATCTAATGCATGTGTTTACAAATATTATAATTCACCTAAGGTTCAATTCAATTATATAAGTAATCAACAATTAAATATATAATGAAATATTCATATTTCCATAACTCGAAATTTTCTTCATCATCAACAATAATTTTATACGAAATCCAGACTTTATGTAATTCCAACATTTTCAAGTTTCCACCCAACTCAACTTCCTTAAATCGTCAATAACATCATCATAGATCAGAAATGTATACAACTTCAATATTTTCATAGAAATCAACTTAAATTTCAACATAAAGCACCAATTAGTTCAAGCTCTCTTATAAAACAAAATTCACAAATTTAGGGTTTAAAGAAAATTGGGGTTTTCCTCATTTTTTTCACAAAATTTCCAACTCACCAACTATTATTCCTCACTATGTCAAAACATGCAAAACATTTCAAAAACTTAAGTGAAAACCTTATTTTTAAAACTTTACTGACTTTTGAATCAAAAGTTTCTAACTCATATCAACCCATAACTACAAAATATTATATAATCACACCAAATCATAGATATATACAGTTAAGAGAACTCCTCCCTCAAAGATGAAAGCAAAAGAATGAAGACCTGAACTTGACAGCAATGAAAACTTGATCTAATCGGCTCAAAATGTCAATTTCAACACGCTCTATGTTTTTACTCAAGAACTAGGGTGGATTCTTGGTGAAAGTAGATGAAATCTAGAGTTTGAGGGTTTTGGTTTTCGGAAAGGGAGGAGTGAGAGAGAGAAATGAAAGAAAAGTGAAAGAAATAGGCTAAAAAGTTGATTTTTAAGTGGCTAACTTCGAACAAACCGCTTGAACGGTCATTCTTGCGCTCGAGTGATGAATGAATGATTGTAGCATCTCAGACTACAGAGCAAGGTTTTGGATGTGTTAAAAGACTGCTCAAGCGCTACCTCTTGCGCTCGAGCGAACTAAAATTTTCTGAGTGCCACACTTATTTAGTTTCTAAGGTAGTTCTTGCACAACAACCTTATTTTCATATACAATCATTTAGTCTCATATATTTATATTTCATTTACTTAAGTTTACAATGTAAAGAAGGAAGTACCTCTCATTTAGATTAAAAAAAAATACTAAACAAATCAAAATCTAAACAAATCAAAAAGCGGTTCCACCAATTTTAGTACAAAATAATTTTTTGGCTACAAATATTAAAGTTGATGCTTAAAGCAAAGTGACTATTTCTTCATAGAAAAATTTGATAAAATCTAATTAGACTATTTAATAAATAAGGAACAATTACCGTCAAAAATTATTTTCAAAATCGAAAATTCTGAAAAATCCAATTTTCAGACATAGTCAAATTTTGATGGAACGCCTTTTTATTACAACCGCTATACGAAAAAGAAAAAAAAAAATCAAGTCTCCACCCAAGTCATTACAAAAGGCACATATGCAAACAAACTTGATTTCCAAAGGATAGATCCAAAAATAATGAGGAAAGTTACAAGCAACATATCCAAAACTTACCTCCCAAAAAGATGAGATTTGCAATTATCATCTCCAAATTACACTCACCCAAATACATGTTCTTCCACCAAACCCAAAACTCTCTTCTACCTCCAAAAGACAAGTTCTCACAAGGAAACACCAATAGATTTAGATAAATATAACCATACACTCCAAATAAGGAGAAATCTTCTTCAATACCTCTAAAAGAGGCCAATGGCCTCTCTTCAAAGAGAGACCCCAAGGAACTTCCAATATGTTGACCAAAGGAATTGAAAAATTCTGTCAATGGAACTAGAAAGTTCAATTGAATGAATGAGAGTCTCCACTTATTTATAGCTAAAGAATCCCTTCTAAAACATAGCAGGTTTCATTTCAATCCATTCCAAAACTAGCTAGGAAACACTAAATCAATTTAGGAAGTCCAAATCAAGTCAAATAGGACTCTCATAAATCCAAACCAACTACCCACAAATCCTATTTCAATTAGGAAATAGAATATCAAATCCAAATCATATTGGGAATGGACATTTAGTCAATAATCCAACACATCTCTTGGACACATTATCAACCCTACCGAACTTGCTTGAGTTACACTCCTATGTAAGAGACTAGAGGGAAGTCAATGCTTGCATTGTTAATAAAAGCCCTAGAAGTATTCTATTTTATATTTTTCTTTGATTCTGGTTCCTCCTTTGTCTTGGTATGTCCGTGGTTACAAATTTGCCCCATGTAGGTTTTTAAGAGGTAATCCCTTCTTATCTTTGTGGCTATCAATTAAATTACAGAGAAAAATGTCATATAAACTAACATATGTTACTAACTTTACTAACTAATTGATGGTCATGCAATAAAAATGAAAGTACAAAATTGAAAATACAAAACAAGATTTCAATATGTGTCACATAAGTGAATAAAGAAAAATTTATAAGATTCATTAGTTTATATAACATAGTCTGTTGCAGATATTGACAGTAAGTTATTTTATGCTTATGAAGTAATATCCCAACATTCCTAACAACCACACGAACTATCTTTAAATACATGATGCCCACATAATCGTTTGCATGTAAGGGAAATCAGGAGCATTATTTCAAGAGTACCTAATAATTTTTTCTATTAATCACTTGGGTAAGGCACCCGAGTCTAGATCTCGGGTTGATGAATGATGGTATTTGCTAGTAGTGATACAAACTGTCAAATTCTTGGGTTTGTGTTTCTCAAGAGTTATTAAAAACCAAAAATATTAATGGGAATTAAAAATATCAAGTGGTAAGCTAAAGAATAGAATAAAGCAATATCTAATTGATGCTTAACACTGCAACTTGCCTTGTACACTTTGTTAAAGCAAGCTTTACAATGTGAATGTTGTAATCTAAGCACAACTTTCTTAGAAGGTGCAATAACTTAAACTATTAATATGAAATCATACCAACCCATTGAACCCAGTCACTCCTAAATTTTGAAACATTAAAAAATATATAAATGCAATTCGGATTCATGATATTTTTCATCATTATAACAAATAAAAAAATATAATTGCAGCTATAGCATGATAATGTATTAATGGATTGATGATTCAGAAAGATCTGTTCATACCATGGATAATATTTCAATTATTCAGTTTTTGGTCTCTTAACACTACATCTTTCAATAATCTCACAATTCCTTCTTCCTCGACCCCATTAATTATGTACTTTCCATTCTTAA